CGCGCTGCCAAAACAATAGTTCCTGCCAGCATTGCACTGAAACCTAAGCATCTTCTAACCCGAAGGGGTTTTAGGTTTTACCTACGATTCTGGGCGGGCCGTACCCGAAATTTCGGGGGGTTCGGAAGCCTCTGCGCCAGAAGGCGCAGGCCCTCGAAGTCTGTGTGAAGCACAGCCTCATTCCAACTCACGCGGGGATGACAGGGCGCTGCGCTTGAGAAAACATTTCTGTGGCGCCTCCGTGAAGACCCGGTCAAGATTGTATTGGAAACCACTGCGGTTCGAATCCAGAAAGTCCCGGACAATGCCTTGGGCGGCATGACATGGTGGAGCAACGTGCTCTCACACGAGGGAAAGAGGCGAAATCCTGAATGCGCATCTGCACCTGATAGAGGACTCTACTAAAACTACGAGGGCTGCAATGGTCCTCCATGCACCCTCACCACCAAAGCCTCAACCTCACCCAAGCCCTATACCCCGGGGGGAGGGGGTAGGAGGTCCCCACTATCTCCCAAGTCATGCAAATGCTGATGAGTGGCTCCACTCCCTTTCATGCAGTGCGAGCAACGGAACAACCTGGTTCAAAATGGGGTTTAGGGTTTAGGGTTTAGGGTTTAGGGTTTAGGGTTTAGGGGGGTTTGGGGTTTAGGGATGCTAAGCCCTGAGCCCTGAAGGGCTCAGGGGCTTCGGGTCTGGGATCGACGTTGGCTCGCGTGTGATGTCGCGATGCAAGCCCCCACTGCGGCCTTGTCGTTCAACACTCTGACAAACATCTTCCGCAGTTGCCACAGTTTTCGCACTTCGGCGAGCGACAGGCACCTGAGTTTTTGCACACCCTGTGAGCTTAAGGTTTAGGGATTAGGGTTAGGGTTTCATGGTGCTTCAACTGTGAAGTAATGCTTTACGATGCTGCTTTTTGCTCAGGACACGGGGGGCGACCAAGCCAAGATGCATGAGAAGCGTATACACCAAGCCTTCATCCTTCATAACACGAGCACCTGCACAGGCACAGTGTCTTCGCTCAAAAAAGTATCTCGCAGCAATGCTCCCAGATTTGTGCTCACACTCTCCCCCTTGCGGTGTTGGATTCAACTACAGTGGTGAATCTGCTATTTTCGTTGGCACAAGAGTCCTGTCATGTTTTGGGCAGCACTCGGCACATGCCTGGTGCTTCGTGGAACGCAGCTGTCGCTTCCATCCTTGTCATCTTTGCATGTCAGGTGTTCGCCACTGCTGTCCGAAACTAAACAAAACCCTAGGCCCTGGGACCTAAAACCTGACACATGAACGGCAATATGCAAGAAAGGGTGCGCACACACACACACATGCACTCACAAGAACCCTCACACCTGCGCTTGCTCATTGTCTCGTCCAAGACCTGCGGACCAGAATTGTGCTGAGAATGGCATGGGATTCAGGTGTTAAGGCTTGTAACTAGAGATTAGGGTCTATTATTACAATGACTATTATTATTCTTATTATTATTATTATTACTATTGCCCAGGAAGACATTCAGAAAGCATCGCCCCCGGCCTCAGTGCTGCTGCTGTCAGCAGCCATGCAAAGACCCGGAACATCGAGAGTTGGCACCGTACACTGTGGACGTGACATTTTTGGGGTAGTTGGTATTCGTGGCTATTTTACATTTGTATTGCATTCATGTTTCAAATGATACCAAAAGACGATCTTACCTCATATTACGCTATATTTATATACTGATCTCTCTAAGGGATAACATTGGTAAAATTTTCAGTTAAGGCAGCAGTACTAGAGTCTGGCGGTTGCACATCTCCTTTCTGCAAGCCTTTGACTCACAAGGTCGGCGGCGCAGAGAACCATCAATCCAGCGGCCCCCACGCCAAGAGCCTGGAGCTTGCCCGCGCATAGGTTTAGGTGTTGGGGTTTAGGGGTTTAGGGTGTTGGGGTTTAGGGGTTTGGGGGTTAGGGGCTTAGGGTGTTGGGGGTTTTGGGGTTGAGGGTCGAACTAGGATTTTGGAGTTTCATTTGTGATCCGCTTGTAGGTATATATTTATGAAAAATAGGAACAAAGGACCTTCAATCGCTGTGGCGGATGTCACGAAGAGACCCTAGCTTGAGAGGACCCCCCGCACCCAAGCTCGGCTGGCACAAAGGTGGAGGCACTGCTTTTCTTCTCTCGCGCGCGTGCGGTGTCGAGAGCCTAGGTTGGAGGGGTTTAGGGGGCTTAGGTTTTGCCGGGTTTCGGGTCTAGGACTTAGGGTTCGAAGCGACACGAAGTCTTGTGCGACCGCGCTTCCACGAAGCTACATTGCATGCAGGCACATCTTTCAGAAGTCATTTGGAGAACGAGGGAACAGAAACGACAGCAGGTTCCCATCTCCTGCATGTCCTTCTGTATGTTTAGCAGTAAGACACTTGGCCTGCTGACGCGCCCGGCTGGTGGATAAAGCTTGAGGGTCCCCACGTGTGGAGCGTGGCTTGGGGTTCAGGGACTCAGGCTCCCAAACCGGGGCCTAGACCCTAGACCCTAGGCCCTAAACCCTAAACCCTAGCACCCTAAACCCTAACACCCTACACCCTAAACCCTAAACCCTAAACCCTAAACCCTAAACCCTAAACCCTAAACCCTAAAGCCTCAGCAATCAGGGAGCCTCAGCCCCAAACCGCAGCTCTCTTTGGAGCCAAAGCCCGAATCTTCTCTGGGACCCGAAACGTGCGTCCACCTGACTCCAGGTAGCTCCGCGGTGCCACAATGTATATACAGGGGATGGGTTTTGGGGTTTAGGGTTTAGGGTTTAGGGGTTTAGGGTTTTAGGGTTTCAGACAGCTCGCGGCGAAGTCGCCCAGCGCAAAACCGTTCAGGGTCGCCTCGGCGGCGAGATTGCGACAGTCCCAGGCTATGGCTGCCCGTGGTGCTACTATGCAGTGTAGCCAATATTGACACGCATCTTCTGGACCTGCGCGCCGCACAGCCGTGCTCGCCCGCCCAGAAGCTGAGCAGCAGCGATCAGCTTCTGGCGGTCCCCCCACTGGCTTCGCAATGTGGCGAAGCGCGGCATGCAGCCGCTGCCACTTCTCGCCCCAGCGTCGGCACTCCGGACACGGAGACGGCAACCAGTCCAACGGTCGTTGTGCCTGCTCTTCGGCCCATGGCACCGCAGACAGTCGCCACAAGACATGTTGACGACGATGTCTCCGAAGCCAAAACAGCCCCAACATCCATACATGACGCCCGAGCCGTTGTATTAGGGGTCGGAGTGCCAGCCCAACCAACAGTGCCAGGCCCAGACTGCGCCGCGCAACGGGTGAGGCCATGTCCTAAAAATCCTATCACCTACAACGAGCCACACTGTAAGCGCAAAGCAACGGTGGAACGCCACAACGAATCTCGGATGTTTGAGCCACCTGTAACATGACACATCTCTGACAAGTTCGCTGAATCTGACGCGTAAAAACACATGTACCGTGGCCCCAAGCAGACCTTCTATGCAGCATCCCTGTCTGTTTTCACTCAATGCGGCTCAAGGTCGGCCGACAGCGCCCGTGCGCGCATGCAAGTACCTCATTTTACCGATGAAGCTCAGACAATCCATGGCGACTGACGCTGAGTGTTACGCCTGGCCAAACCCAACTCGAGCTCTCCGATGTACGCGCCAAGACTGAGGGCGTACTCGTCCTCGCGCGTTAAGCTTTCGCACAGTGCAAGTTCTGAGATTTTTGGCAGCACTCTGCATGCCATGCCTGAACCCTAAGCTGCTCCATCAACGCAGCCAAGGTGGGGTAGAGGGCCAAGGCCGAGCCGTCCTGGAGATGCAGAGCACTGACACATCATCAAACCTTTGCGTGGGGCTGTGTGGTCCTCCGTGCGCCGCAAACAATTCCAATGTTCTGCGGCCACGCTCATAGCGATCATGCACGTATCCCCGGCATCAGGATCGAGTTCCACTTTCTTTTCCACAAAAGAGCCCAACGGGCGATACCCACCTGGGCGAGAGCGGAGTTGCCGGGTGCATTGCCAGCCTTACAAAGGCCACACTGCAGAAGAACACCCCGCCTGTGTGGCATTTGGTGACCAGCAAGGCCTTGCCTGTGATGAAACGTGTGCTCGCAACTGCCGCGAGCTATTTGCATACGCATTCCTGTGCCTGGTGGCGGAGCGTAAAACTCCACGTGCTCATAGTACTGTGAGTACAGCATGATCGCTGACCCTCGGCTCCTGAGTCTAATTGGCTAATCAGAGACTTGCTAGTGGAAAACGTCGTCTGAGGCTTGGGCTTCCAAGCGATGGAGCAAAAGGCTCGCGACTTGTACTCCTCATTGGCACAGTGACCTCCGCCCCCATGTGAGCCGTCGCAAACCTTGCTGCACGGACAAGGCAGCAACGTGGCAAGCACTCTTCTGCATTACAGTGCCCGGCATTGCCGCGCGGGCTACCCCATAGCACGAGCGAGAAGTGGCCCATCGGCACCTGGGGCACCTCAGACCGGGACAGTACTGACAAAGGTCAGCATAGCGCGTGCAATCCGCCTTCCACGTTGAGATGTCATAGCCATCGACGCCCTCAAAAGGCCGATCGTTCTCATCGAGGATGGCGCCCGCTGCTGCCAGTAAGAAGCAGTTCTTCGCCTCGCAGCAAACGTTCTGCATTACCAATCGCACTGAACATTTTCCCTCATCATTCTTTTGGCTCCGGGCATAGTTCTGATGCATGGGGCATGGCACCTCCTCATCCTGATGCGAGACGACTGATACACAGGCAACTAACCACACTGCAACACGAAGGGGAGCCTCGTCTGCACTCTCTGTTTCCTGGTGGGTCTTCTCTAGGAAGCCATGCACTAACACGACACAGAGCCAGCCTGAAGCCACCACTTCGGGACGGTTGCCGGCATCGCCCCAATGTCGCTGATGACAAGACGCTCCATGTTCCTGGTCAAGCCGAAGCCCCGAGGCCCCCGTGTGTACGTTACGCCTGTGACCGCATAGTACTAAGGCCGCAGCAGTACGGCTGTTCTCAGATCTTCAACAAACACAAGAATGTTCTGAGGCTTGACGGCTACGCAGAACGTGAAATTGGGATCTAGACTGTTGGGGTTTCCAGATTTCTTGCTTACGGTACTACTCTAAATCCCAAAGCTGGAGGTGTCGTACTGAAGTGCAAGGTCTGCAGAGATTGGCTAAGGAGAAAGAACTTCATTCCGCGAGTGACATGGCACGACACACTAGGCTCTGTTGATGCTAGCCAAGCACAAGTTTGCCTCAGACCTCACGCAATTGACCAACTAGCCCTCGGCCGTCGGCACCCTGAACAATTTTTGTGGGACGAATACCGTGCTTTGCAATCTCCCTCAGCCATTTTAAGTGCACGGTGCTCCTATATAATAAGGCAAACCCCTGCACTGCGAGGAGTTTTTTAATCGAAATCGGAAGCAAATCGTTCTTGAACTTGCCTGCTAAAAGTCTCTTACTTGCAGCCGAGAAGGTTCAGAAAGTACAGCATGCTGGCCAGCTCCTCGGTCTGCAGCTAACATTCCAGTTCCTATCATTGCTTTGCGCTGCCATCGAGACTCAGCCTCCAGAAGCATGCCCACCGTGCACTGGCGGGTTGCTCTTGTCCAGCCGGGCGCCACCAACTCGATGCGCCAATCAGCCTCACCACCAGCGCAGATATGATTGGGACAGGACAAATGCAAACTGTTTGCGTTGCATATAAGTCGCTGACATGTAGCATTTCTTCTGCCTCACTACCTCATAAAATTTCCAATCGTCACAGCAACAGCTGCCCATGATTCCTTTCACCAATCGTAGCTGCCATCGACACGATTGGTTTTGAAGAATGAGACCAGTGACATACATCCACTTCCACGGAGGCTCTAGGTTGGAATTAGCCGAGCACCAAAGCATGGATGTCGTACGTAAGGCTCCGGCTGGTGAAGAGCAAGAAGTCATTGCCTGGCCAGTGCCATTCAGAGATAACTGATTGTAACAAAATCCGCTTACTGATAACAATAGTATGCATGCCAGTGTCAAGATTCTTTTTGCGCTCCGCACCTTTCTCACGAAAACACATGGCTATGTCATGAAGCCAGAATCATGGCCAGGTCAAACAGATGTCTGTCGCCATTTTTATCGGGATGGCCTCGTAGCATCAACTTTTTTCGCATGCCAATCCCAGCGATTTGAGTTGTGCCAAAGACATGGCATTTCTGCCTTTTGACGAGAATCTGAGCTCCACATTGCTTCTGAAGCAGAAGTTTATCTTCTTTCCAAGCTGCAATCGGCAACATCTGTCCATTAATCATTTGGCCATGGAGCGAGCACAAGCTGTGGACCAAAGCCCACGCGCCTGTGCCTAGGGTTTAGGTTTAGGGTTTAGGGTTTAGGGTTTAGGGTTTAGGGTTTAGGGTTTAGGGTTTAGGGTTTAGGGTTTAGGGTTTAGGGTTTAGGGTTTAGGGTTTAGGGTTTAGGGTTTAGGGTTTAGGGTTTAGGGTTTAGGGTTTAGGGTTTAGGGTTTAGGGTTTAGCAGGGTGCGTAGTTCTGTGTAGGTGCAGAATCGCACGCTGGTGGGCTACTTGGGTTTGGGGTTGAGGGTGGCTGGAAGCTCGCAACCCTGTTTGGTTGGAACGACATCCCATCTTGCAGGACGGCCCGACGCAAGCTCATACGCCTCGCGCCAGCTCGGACGGTCCTTGCTTCTTTGCCGTAGGGTATAAGGAGAGGCCACTAGAAGGGACCCTTAATCTGATTCCCTATATGACCCCTATACATACCTCATATAGTAGATACCTACGTAGCCATGACCCCTAAATAACCCCTAAGGTCCCTTATAAGGATTCCTCCTTTAGCACGTTGATTGAAGGTAGGTAACCCCAAACCCCAAACATCCCCAAACCATAAACTCTAAACAGTTGGGGATGGCTGGCTTAGGGTTTACCTCGAGGCTTAGCAGGATCATGACCTGGCCCTGGCTTTGCTTTTGGGTACCGAGCTTCCTGGTCCCCGTACCCTAACTCTAACCCTTAAAGAAGGTCGCCCACACCCCACCCTCCCCCCTAAGAAGGCACCCTGGAGTGATTCTGAGTCCTACTACCCTATAACCTCGTCCCTAAACAGCGCACCCTCTGCAACCGCGAGGATCCACGAGGCCAGCAGAACGAAACCACGAGCGGCTGAGTGCTTGGGGTTTAGGGCTTAGGGTGTAGGGCAGCACATTCACCAAGAAGTATATGATGAGAAACGCCTGCACCAAGCTTGAGCGCAAAAGGTCTTTGCCGCCCAAGGGTAATAAACTGCTAAGGGTACCCAGCAAACAAAGAGCCTCTTCTTGCCATACGAGTATGCGGGCAAGGCTGGCCGTTAGATGAGGCGCAAAGGTTCAACCCGCAAAGGCTTACACCCCAAAGCCTGTGAAATCCTAAAGCGCCAAAAGCCGAGAATCAAAAAATCTTAGGGTAGTTACATGGTCCCTTAGTATTGGCCTGATATACCCCTTCTATACCCTGTACAAACTAAGGGCCCATACATCAGAACCCTTACGAGGAGGTGAGGGACCATAGTAAGGGCCCATGCGACTGCCCTTAGAAGAAAAGTTCTAAAGCCAGACATAGGGGCTTGAATAACTAGAATACGGCTTTGCGGGCTATTATAGTATAATTCCGAAGAGACTATAAAGGAATATTATTAGTAGCTCCAAAGACTCGACCGTCAACACTTGGCAGAACGCGCCTGCTGTGCAAGCGCTCGGCATCGTCAGCTTCGATCTCTCTCCTGGCCATGGCACCCTGAACCCTGAACCCTAAACCCTAAACCTTAAACCCTAAACCCTGAACCCTAAACCCTAAACCCTAAACCCTAAACCCTAAACCCTGAACCCTGAACCCTGAACCCGAAACCGCCATCGGGCATGGCCATGAAGGCTTCCCAAGCTGTGGGCTTGGGTCTGTTCGGCCTTCTGAGGCTGAGGGTTTGCCAGGGTTGTAATTTTAGAGGATTTTTGGGCCCCAGTTTGGGCTGCTTAGGACATACATGGCTTTAAGGTTGCGGGCCTTGGGGTGTCGGATGTGGGGACAAAACAGGCTTGAGGGCTTAAGCCTTAAACCCTAAACCCTATAACCCTGTCAACCCTAAAAACCCTAAGCCCTAAACCCTGTGGGAAACCTGGAGGGCTAGGACGTGCTCGCGGATGTGGTGCTGGCCGCTGAGGTGGATGCACCGCCCTGGGTTTAGG